TATTATGCATTATTTATTTTTAAAAGACATGAAGAATTTTTGCTTGGACTACCAAGTCCTGGCTTATGCCCATAGTGAACCTAAGTGGCACACAAGGACAAGACAGGGGCCAAAGAAAAGCCACCCAAATATATTCACTACTTTAGCACACTAATGAGCTAATAAACTCCTAATAAACTCAGCTCAGCATCTGGAGACAATATGGTGACTGCACCAACAAGCTGAGGTGGCCAGTGATAGCTGAGAAGAAAACTGGAGCTGCTGACATGAAGGAAAACATCTAACCATTAACTGCAGCCCCTAAAGGCTGGGAGGAAAAGAAAGCTGGGGCTGTAAACATGAAGGGAACCATCTAAACATTAACTACAGACCCTAAGAGCTGGGAATGGGAAGCTGGTGTTGCACTGGCACTGTGAGAACTTGGGTCACCACCATGAAGCTGTCAACAACTGACGAACATCTATCAAGAGGAACATAAGTCAGGGTGAGGAGTGAGAAAAAACCCATGGTTGGGCTGAGTTCAGCAGAACTCAGGTGTCAAAGGGAATTTTTGCTGAACTCCAGGCTTTTATCCAAAGGGATGGCACACAAGAAAACCTGAGCCACCACTGGGACTTGGAAACACAAGAGATCTTTTGTTCCTCTATAAGAAAAGCAAGAAGCAATGAGCCAGGACCCTGGGGGCTGCACTGCCTGTCCAAGGGATCCTGAACATTCCCCAAAGCTTCTAGTCCACTTTTAGGCCTGCAGATGCTTTCTGCAGCACCCAAAGGTGTAAAAAAGCACCAGCCACCAATGCACCTCACCAGGTGTCACCACAAGGATGGAGAGCAAGACCAGAGGAGGGGATTGCGCAACTCAACTGAGATAATGTGTCCCGAATTGCTTCAAACCCTACAGCCTCACCTATTAACAATCACTAAACAATCCACCTTTCCACCATCCCAGCACTTGACTCCACCACCTCTGGCAGCAGCACTTGGAGCAAATTAACTCCACGCTGTGTATTTTGCCTCAAACAGCATTGTTCCAATGAACCAAGTGAGCTCAGTCTCACACTGGCTGCACAGAGAGCTTCTAAAGAGCTGGTCACTGGAAAAATCTGAGGCTCCCACATATGAATTTTAATAATCTGTCCTTTTTGAAGCTGTTTTACATGCAAAGGAGCTTGCTGCAAAGCATCCTCATCAGGAGAGCCTTTCATCTAAACCCGAGTCTTAACACATGCCCTCATCATGGCAAGTGACCAGATGCTTTGTGAAATACTTTGTCCCAAAAAATGGACCAGCAGACGTCATGTACCTTCTACAGCCCCTTGCCCAGCCCACCCAGAGCTTTTTTTCCTTCTTTCCCCACCCCCTTTCCTCTGTTAAATTGGCATTTCCTGATGACAAGACACCACCAGACACAGGATCCAAATGACCTTCACACCCACCCATGAAGATGCCTCCAGTCCCATCTCATGGACACCACTAGCTCTAGGCAGGCAAGAAAGCCCAGGACACCTTCACTAACATTTGGATGCCACCAAATGGCTGAAGTTCTTCCCTGGCACCTTGACTCTACAAGGGAATGGTATATTAGAAGCCCAGAAAACTAAACATTTTTTTTGCCTCCAACTTTTCTCATTTAACTTTAGATTTTATGCCCTTTTTCCTTGTCATCTATTCAGTTCCATGCAATCACCTCCACTGCAAGTCCCCAGTGTGCTCTGGGCCACTAATAAAGCTAAAATATACATACATATATATTTATTAGATATATTATGCATTTTATGTATTTTATATAACATATTTGTGTGTTTATAATAATTTTACATGTTTTTATGTATTACTTTCCCTTTTGCACTTTCAGGAAAGATGAAGTCACCTTGATTATGCCCTTGCTCTGTTTGTTCTATAAAACACAACACACCAGGTCTTCACAAAGGGGGTGAGAAGTTTTATACAAAGGTTTTATTACCCCAATGCAGTGTCTGATCTCAAGGAAGCAGTTTTAATTAAAAGTCAGTGAATCAAGCTCTGCTCTGCCAAACAAACTGCAGGAATATTACCCCATGGAAACACAGAAAAGCATGAAAATGAAAACAAAAAACCTCAGAGATGACCAAACCACCGGCCAGGCTCATGAAGCAACCACTGCTTAGTGGCTCCAGTGAGTTATTTCCTCAGAACTCTTTTGCTCAGTGATGTTGCAAATAACATCAGCTGTTCCCAAACAATCTTCCATGAAGAAAACATGCTTTACCTCTTTGATTTTCTTACTCATTGAGGACACTCTGGTTGAAAGAAAACCAGAGAAATTCAAATAAAATGCTCACCTGCATAATTTTCCTCACTTTTCAAGGATGTGATTTGCATTGAATTTGGTTTCGCAATTAATCATTCCAATTTTTTTAAATATGTGAGCCCATCCATGCATATATATACACATCTATGCATATATATACAAAGGTACACAGAATATATATCTATATAAATGAAGAAAGAAACCCAGCAGGTGAGTCAGAGAAGGCTTTCCTGCTCTCACATAGCAAGTTTGACCTTCTGAGGTTGCAGGTTTGAGTTTTATTCCTGGTCTGCAGGATGCACCAGACATAACACAGAGTTGTTTAAAATATCAAACACTGTAGAACCAGTGATGGTTTGGAACCAGCTGAGGTTTCACACACTCACAGATCTCCACTCTGATGGCTGACCTGCCCAATGACCCATGTCCCACCATGCTCCTGTTCACCCCCATCACCTAAAGCAGAGCTGCAGAGAACCACAAAACTATTATGGTTGGAAGAAACCTTTAAGACCATCAAGTCCAACCAGTGCCCCAGCCCTGCCAAGGCCACCCCTGCCCCATGTCCCTCAGCACCACATCTACACGGCTTGGAACCCCCTCCAGGGATGGGGACTCCAGCCCTGCCCTGGGCAGCCTGGGCCAGGGCCTCACAACCCTGGCCAGCAAGAAATGCTGCCCAACATCCCATCCCAGCCTCCCCTGGCACCACTGCAGCCCATTTCCTCTTGTCCCATCCCTTGTTCCTGGGGAGCAGAGCCCGACCCCCCTGGCTCCAACCTCCTCTCAGGCAGCTGCAGAGCCAGAAGGTCTCCCCTCAGCCTCCTTTGCTCCAGCCTGGACACCCCCAGCTCCCTCAGCTGCTCCTCCTCACCCTTGTGCTCCAGACCCTGCCCCAGCTCCCTTGCCCTTCTCTGGACACGCTCCAGCCCCTCCATCTCCTTCTTGTCCTGAGGGGCCCAGACCTGACCCCAGGATTCCAGGTGCTCCCTCCCCAGGGCCCAGCACAGGGGGACCAGCCCTGCCCTGCTCCTGCTGGACACACAAGTGCTGACACAACCCAGGATGCTGGTGCCTTCTGGGCCACCTGGGCACTCACTGGCTCATGTTCAGCTGCTCTCAACCAACACCCCAGGTCCTTTTTCTCTGGGCACTTTCCAGCCTCTCTTCCCCAAGCCTGGAGCATTGCCTGGGGTGGTTGTGACCCAAGGGCAGGACCCAGCACTTGGCCTTGGTGAACCTCACACGACTGGCCTCAGCTCATCCATCCAGCCTGTGGACAAGAGGCACCTGACAGAGTCAGTAACTCAGTTTAAAAAAGCAAAGAAGTCCTGTCCAACACACTACACCCATCACTCATGAGAGCAGCTCCAGCAGCTCTACCACTGTCCCTGCAGAGGGAAAATGCCAGATCAGACTGCAGAGGACACAACATCCACCCAGAAGCTTTCAGGTTTAAAACACTGTGCTATACTTCAAGGCACATTTCAAATAACCAGGCAGATTCCCACACTTCACTTTACAATCTGTCCTCAGCCCCATTTGAGTCCTTATTTTGTCCCCAAAGCCTGCAATTACTGGGATACCAGCCTGAGACAGAAACACCAGAGCAGAGCTGAACAGTGAGTGTCTTGTTTAAGAGCTCTGAAGATGGTTATTTCCATGTCCCCTTGCAATCTGAGCACTCCTAACCATCCATAAAGAGCAGTTATCAATTAAAACTGCCAAAAGGAGATTTACTTTGATAAGGAGGAGAGCAGAGAGCCCAGCATCTCTGGCTGGAGCTGTCTGTTAGCCCACTGCCTGCAGAAACTATTCAAGGATGTGGAGAACCACCAAGTCTTCCCCAGCAGAAAAGCAAGAAGTTGCCTCATATTTTAGATGTGTCCAGGAAAATCCATGGGTCCCATCCACATTGGTCAACAAATGACACTGCTTTGAAGGACCCATAATTATCTCCAAATATCCTCCAGTATCCTCCAATATCCTCCTACCTCAAAATCAGTGTCTCCATTAAGACAACTAACATTAGCTTCTGGGTTTAGTCTGATTATCTCACCAAATTATCTGAAATGTTGTTTCCTCCAAGTTATTAAACATGACATTTGCAGAGTGGTTTGAACTCCTTCCAGGAAACCCATCCAAGCAGTAAAAGGGGAAGGATCATAGAATCACAGAATCATTTGGGCTGGAAGGGACCTTAAAGATCATCTAGTCCCAATCTGCCATGGGCAGGGACACCTCCCACCAGCCCAGGTTGCTCCAAGCCCCATCCAACCTGCCCTTCAACACTTCCAGAGATAGGGCAGCCACAGCTTCTCTGGGCAACCTGGGCCAGGGTCTCACCATCCTCACACTATTCCAAATCCCAAAAGCATCAAATTCATGAGTTCAGACCACAGAAATGCCCCTGAAGCCCACCCAGCAGTCTTGGCAGTCAATAACAGAATGAGGTTGGTAAAAAGAATTGGAAATATTTGACCTCCAAGAGATTTCAGTGTAAAGCTGCAGGAATCAGGTCTTCCATCTCCCAGAAGGGAGCTACAGCACCCTTAGGTTAAGACAGCCACCATGATGAGGAGATCCCATACCAACTTGGGGACACAAAAATGTGACAGAAAACCCTCACCTCACTCAACCTGTATCTTGGCAACATTTAATTGGATAATTGCCCAGTTTTGATCCAACCCTGTTGATTGAGCCCCACTCACCTGGCCATCTGCTTGTAGGCCTCCTCTGCCACTGCAAAGATGTGAGGATCCATGTCCCCCATGTTCTGGCCACTGTAGGCATAGATGACATCTTGCTCATAGATTGGCAGCTGCTCATATGGATTAATGGCAACAAGCACAATACCTTAGAAAAGAGAAACGGGTATGTTACAAACCAAGCAGAGAGTAAATACTTCAAGCCCTCCAGGGCTTTCGTTAGTTGTTTCAAATCAGTGTTCTTTAAATATAATGCTTGGAGGAATTAAAAAAAAAGGATGAGAAGGGAACAGGGAAGGACTCCAGAATCTTATCTCAGCATCTCTTTTGAAGTGTTATGTTTTGATAGCAAAGCTATAAGCTCCAGTACAACTAAAAAGGAGGTGCATGAAAAGTGGTGAGAAAAGCAAATAGATCATAATCTTCACTGCATGAAGCCAGACTTGGCAGAAAGAGTGAGGAAAGCTAAACAGTGCCTGAGCCTTCAGAAAAGTAATTCCAATGCAACCAAAGCTCCACCAGACTCAAACAAATATCCCAGATTTTCCCCCTGGCTTAAATTCTTAGTAAAAGCTCATAACAAAGAAAGTACTCAAATCCAAAATGAAATGCATAAATCACAGGAAAGGAATGCCAAAGCCTACATTAAAGTTTTCAAGTCTCTTTCCTCTCCAGCTCTAGGAATGTTGATGCCTGCCTGGAGGAGGCAGTGAGCCCAAGGAATTGATGAGAGGCCAAGCCAAGTGTGCTGCTACCATGGGCTGGAGGGAGCTGATCTGCACCCTGTCAAACTGAGGCACTCACAAGTCCCACCTCCAAAGCACCTTCAGGTTTTAAGGTTTAAACTGTTAATGAAGGAGCTTCAAGAGCACATGGGAGAAGTGCTGAGCCACTGAGTCAGGGCTCATGCACACAAACGACAGCAAAGCCCAGGAAGTCTCAGCCTGCAGCAAAAACCAGGATGAGAGACTTAAGCCACAACAAAGTTCTGCTACATCACCTTCACAGGACATGAACCCAACAGCTTCAGCTCACAGTGCCCTTTGCACCTTAACTCTTTTGGGGTCACAAACCTCTTTCCC